CTGTGCAGTTGGTATCTTCGTACAGATATGTTTGTCATTAACAATGGTACACAAGTCAATACAATTTTATCACATGTTTTATGGATATTGCGTCTATCGATGGTCAACTCCTCCGAACTTTGTGCACGAAGGCTGCTTAAATATCTAACGGAGAAGTTTGCGGTGACGTATTTAGTTGCTATCGGAGTATCTATCGTCTCATTCGCTATCTCTTTATACCGTGTAAGCATTACTAGAAGTGAGTAAGAAGATTCCAAGACTTATTCATGGCGATCCTGTATGCCAGAGCTGTTCAACAGCTTGCCCGTACGGGCAGCGAATTCCAGTCCAGGAGAAACACCAATTGGCGGGTTCTTGGCCCTACTTTCAAGGTCAACAGTGTCCCTTCCTTAGCTCCTCGTGGGACTCCCCACCAGTAATGACACCTTACTTGGCTGAAGACTGTGATCGATTGTGGGTTACGTCAAGATTGAGTGAAATACAGGGTGTCCCAAAATTATTGTATAAGTGGGAAATGAGGGATTCCTGAGGTAATTTGAAGTAACTTTTTCCTTAGCGAAAATGCAATCCGCGGCTTCGTTCACGAGTTATTAACGAAAAACAGTGACGAGTGAGAGATCACGTACGGCTGACGCCCCGCCCTCGCGGCCACTGCCGTTGCATCAGGCGGCCAGCGCGATGCGGCACTGGCCGCAAAAGCGGAGCGCCGGCTGTACTAAACGAAGCCACAGATTGCATTTTCGCTAAGGAAAAAGTTACTTGAAATGACTTCGGGAACCCCTCATTTCCCGCTTGTAGAATAATTTTGGGACACCCTGTAAAATTGAAGGCTGGCATGAAAACGTAAACATACCGCTCTTTCTTTCCCTGCACGTTGCCTTGGCCAGTGGCCTTGACCTTAGACCGTAGCTTTGACCTTGCCCGCCGCGAGGCCTGTTGAACAGCTCTGCTCCATGCTTTTGTCGATCAGAACATGGTAAAACAGCTTTTCTTTTGTCTATGCGACAGCTTGTTTTAGCAATCGATAATGTGACAGATGTGGTAAATCTTATTCTCTCTGCGGGTTTGGTAATAACACATTTAATAATCATGTTCTTAAATAATTATATCGGGCAGGAATTGATGGACAGCAGTATTCAGGTGAATTACGACACGTGAGTGGCAGCGTTTTGTTTAAAACATATTTCTTTCGTCGACATTAGAGTACATTATACTGAATTGACGTAACAGTTATAATTAGATAGCGGATCTATATGCAATATTAATATGCAAACTATATGCACGACATATGCAAAAACGTGTGCAAAATAATTGCAACGTCACAATGCCCAGATAGAAAAGTTAAATAACAAGAGTTATCACGAGTGTCATTTTGCATAAATATCCACCATCTGGTAATAACATTTTGTAACAAAAACAAATGAAAGTTAACGAATATATTTATTATTAAATCTATTCCTGCGGTTCGTCCATGTTTAGATATATGTTTGCAATTTTAAATGTGTTGAATGCAGATTCAGTTAAAGACTAAATTAAGAAACGAACGTGAATTCATACATAACAAAAATACCATTTTCATAAATTAATAAACAGCAATTCTATCAAACAGATACAATTCGTTGTGGTACTGTATATCACCAGAGTCGCAGAAGTTATTATTATTCTTGTTGATGAGAACAAAGAATGAAGCACGATACGATTTGGCTGGTTTATTCTCTCCGTGCCACGAGGGCTTTTCGATGGTAATTCATGATGGGTTTACACTCTATTAAGACTTAGCTTTAGCTTCAAACTGAAGAATATTAAAAGAAATTTCGGTTTTAGATGATGAGCTCATCTTTTTCATATTTTACTTTTCTGTATTCAACCAAGTGAAATATTTCAAAGTGACGGTTACAACAGTGGTGAGTATAAGTTATAATTGAGCAAAAAAATGAAGTTCTAATTACGTGACTTAGCCATTTAAATGTCGCTGTTTCACTGCACTTTCACTGCACCATTTGGGTATTTGTTGGGCATTTGTTGCACGCCTCGCACACATGTTTTGCTAGAATCTCACAATCTTACCGAATTTTCTAAAAATATATCCCCTATCACTCGCAACGTTGTACAACTTTTTTATGACTTTATACTAAAAAGGTCACATTTACGTTTAATCACCAATATTATGTAAAATTTCTAGACAAATTTCTTGCTTTCCTAACGATACAAAAATACAACAATTAATGAGTACAGTAAATTTTCTCTAATTGACTCTCAGCTTTTATTATTTGAGCCTTGCGTCCTGTTTTTTATAGTTGTTGACAATCGGTAACTATTAAAACATTTGTGGCGGCGACAAGCCGGCGCCACGTCTCCGCCATGTGTTTAGTTTTAAGATGAAAGAATGTTTGGACGAATGGACCGGGCTGCATGCTGTGCGTTAGCGTCGAGCGAATGTCTAGACGATTGGTTTGAGTGTCGCGTAGAATGAATGCGTCTAGTCAGGATAGAGTGAAAGCGTACCGTGAGAATGAGAAAGAATCATCTGGATGGGATGCATCGGTGAGCGAATGTGACAGTTCGGTAAGAACCCTCGTCGGGAACGGTACGCGAGCATCGCGAGTTTTGTACCGGTGTAATTGTAAATAAAAGTAGTCCGATTCTAACCGGGTTCGATTCTTTCTTCCCGTCACCGATCCCCCACCTCCTCACATTAATATATATAATAATCGTATATATTGATTATTAATATATAAAATAATCGTATCTCCTCTTTCGAAATTGTCCATTTTTGTGCGCAATCCGTGCACGAAATAAGGGAGAAATTACTGTAAATTGGTAACAATAAAAAATATATATATGAAATAAATAAATATAGTTATCGATTGTCGAAAATTATAAAAACAAGCCGCAAGGCTCGAATAATCGTATCTCCTCACAATTTCCCGTGACTCGTCTACCTCTATAAAGATGCTTCTAACTCTATCGTAATAACAAAAGGCGTTAAATGTATTTTTTATTATGGCTGTTCGTGCTTGTGCTTATTATTTCAATATTGCTGCAATTCTCGCAATTACTATTGTTTTATGTTCACACGAATATCCGGAAATACCACACCTTATTTATAAATATAATTTAAATTCCATTGAAAAGTACCCAACTCTAAGAAAATTTTGTAATTTTTGCTTTCTCACATCTATGACAGATGCTGCATTCTTCAATCATGGTCACATTATCGAAGTGGATCACTAGACACGAATAATGTGCAATAAATAATAAGAAAAAACGAAACAGTCCAAAATTACTTTTGTACTTCCACCCTCGAAATCAGAACAACTCGTTTAATGATACAAGGATACCCCTTCGCATCGTCGGTATAAATAAAATATATGGATCTTAATTGCATTATCCAAGAATGAAAGTTCGAACATAACATACAATAAATGACATAAGAATCTTAAGCTGTTTCAGACAAAATATTGTACTTGTGAGACAAACAGGGCTCGTCTCAGCTTCTCAGCAATATAACCACTTGGTCATTTATGTATAATAAACGTCACTTACATTTATAAAATTTTTAAGAAATCTGTTATTATACGAGACAGATATGAAGAAACAAACAAACATTAATTTGTTTACTCTAGCATTAGAATATAGTGTATTAAGGTAATATTTCCGTATCTTAAACTGGGATTCGCAAAGCACTATTCTTCACTAGGAATACTTCGTTTCACTGAAGACACTGCTTTCTTGAGTCATGTCCGATGAAGAATAATATTTCTAAGAAAAACGCGTTCATACACATTAGCTGCGACATGAAACCAGCGAAATAATTTCTGCCGATCCCCACCGTGGCAAAACAGAAAGAATACAGAGAACAAGCATTGCAATTATCGATTCCTTTAACATTTATAGTTTCCGAGCGGAAATCTACGATCAGTGTAATTTACGATCCATTCCGTTTCGAATTCGCGATGGAAACTGAACAGCATGTATAAACTATAATGCCGAGGTGTAATCAGACGTCGCTACAAAATTCCATGCGCATAAAGTTCTTTACTACCGAGCGAGATGGATGTGTTTCGAGAGAGCTACAGTACTTATTGCTTCGTGTTGTGCATGACTGGACTCTGGCCCGATGACGAATCCCTGCTAGCAAAAGTGCAGAGAATAGCTTTCTCTCTACTCAATATCTCATGTATAGTGGTCCAGGTGATGTACATTTTATTTACACCATAATGTTTCTACAACTGAAAAATGAGATTTCTTTGTTTTGTAATGCATACTTTATTAACGATGCACAGACAAAACGGGCGACACGGGGTCGAGATGTGAAGTGAAGTGAAAATGCATTTTGATGGCTTTCCATGAGTGTGAACATTTTTTTATGAATAACAAGACGATAACGTAGAGAGTTATTTTTGACATGTTTTTCTGAAATATCTTGGCTCTAATATATTGTTGAATTTATGTCGAAAAAAATATATATATAATTAATATAAATATAATAAATAAATAAATATATATATATAATATTTATATTAATTAAATATAGTACATATGTCACACACATTTAAAGAATTCAATTCGCCATGAAATTTCCTCCATTATTTTATTCACACAAAAAATATTTGTACCACATTCGATCAACGTTCATACTAAAAGATTATATATGATATTTGTGAAGAATTAGATGACTATTTTATTGTGCATCGTCAAACTTTTTCATTCACCACATTCCGTATAATAATTTATCCCATATAGATAATCTAATTATTAATTCTAGTGCGTGTGATCATTACATGATCTCGTCTGGTTATGCATAAAAAAATTGTTGTAATTCACAACAGTAACTATAAAATAATTTGACTATTTATTATTGTCAGCTTCTAATATACAATTAAAATATGCAGTGTAAAACTATCAGCATTTCTAATCAGTAAAATAAACGGCAATTATTTTTCAATAAACTTCGAATATTTTTTACAAAAATAGTTTCTTTCAAAGAGACAGTTTTATCGTGTGTGTGTAAATATTCAATTTGTTTTATATTTAGAGGACAGAACGGTTCCAATTGTTTAATGGAAAGCACTGTTCTCACTTATTATTAAAATCTACTAAAAATCAATGAAATATGTTCTAGGCAACAACGCTAAAAACGGTAGAAATAACACTGTACAATATACTTATAATGTTGTCATACAGCTTTCCGATGATATTGTATTTTCTACGATATTCTTGGTTCGTGATCAACATTTCAGAAGTAAGTTGGAAATCGACTCACTTTCTTCGTTTCTAGTGTTCGAAGTAACATAAACAACGCTATTGAATTATTTACGTCTGCGATTTTAATGTTGACCTGTCACGTGACTTCAGATAAGAGCTGTGTTCGAAAGTATTGGAAGGGATTGCAGCACGCTGAAGAATCCTCTCGAAGTGGAGATGTTAATGAAACATATGGCAGAAACGAGACGTGTTATCATGGCATACATAGGTAAACATATTTGATAGAGAAGTCTTCTTTGCACTAACAGTGAAAAAAACAAGTAAACAAAATAAATCACTTACGTTATTTTTGATATATTAGTATATTATATTATTAACAGTATCGAATTATACTTACCAAGTAAACATTTTACTCAAATAGTAATATATTTCAAATAGTTCGACCGTGATAAGAAAAAAAGTGTAGCACATACCATTTTAACATTTTGTCTGAACATTAAATTTTACGTTAATCTATTATTATTATTCTATTATAATTTAATCAGGATTCGTGAAACGTAACAATGTTGAAAAAGTAATTAGTATTATACAATTTAACTTTTCAATTATACCTTGATCAAACAAAGTGCATCAATTTTGCAAAATGTTTGTGATTGTTTGCGCGGCAATCGAAGCGTTAACTCACGAAGATTTATTAGCGACAAGTTGACATTATAGTACAACTTAAGTCAGGGCTCGGAATTAACGGGCACGTAACGTGAGGAGCACGAGGGCTACGCCTCCTAATCCTCGTTGCGCGTCTCGCTCCCCGTGGTCGCCCTTTTTGGCGCAAAACGCCTCGGCCATGTGAGCCTGTTGCTTTATATGTGTGTATGTGTGTAGCATTTAGGCGATCATCGGAGAGCGAGACGCGCGACAGGAGTCGTTGCCCTCGAGGGAGGCGTGGCTCTCGCGATTCTCACGTTGCATGCTGGTTAATTCCGAGCCCTGACTTGACAGGTCGTGCTCAATTATGAGTTTAAAAAATGATGTTTTGGAGAATAATCTTCTTCTCAAAAGACCTTCGTTTGCAGTGAATGGGTTAATGGAATTATTTCGTGTAAGAATAACCGTTTTGTGTTCTAGTTCTAGCAGTGCTGCTAGCAGTCTACATAATTGTAGCAATACTGGTCCCTACGATATTGCACTCGAAACTTCAGCTACGTTACCTAAGAATGTTCGGGTTCTTCTACAAAGAAGAAAGCGCAGAAACTGATTGGGTTGGCCTTCAGCTCGTACTGGTAAGCGTGTTGGGTCAATTAGCGTTAGTAGGTACGGAAGCGTCAGTTGCTGTTTTTGCTGCGTACTTGTGTGGATTATTTGAGATCACCAGGTATGTTTGAAGCAATTTCTTCAGATTTTCATTCGTGCATCGCATCCGCGCGAGTCCGTTCTCGTGACGGAAAATATCACTGAATCACTGTAACCACTCATTCTACATGAACTGCTACAACATTTCACTGACCACAACTGTTGCGCGACCGTTTCACCTAATTACGTCGTCTGTCCATCGCATAACTTTGCCAATAATGACTCAGGATTGCAAAAAGTGGAATGGTTCAGGCTGATTCCCCTTGTCCTTTGCGTCGTTTAACGGGTTATCTTGAAATCACTAACTGAATCCAACTGTGCTTGCGAGAAAGAAGTACATTAGTATATTAATTCATTGGTTCATTAATTATAAATCGAATTGTAAAGCTACATTATTTGCTATAAGCAAATCCATTTCTGTGTAAGTTTCACGATTTTTTAGTATTTTGTGAATTCTTTCTTCCTTTACTTTGAAACAAAAATTTCTTTGGCATCACTGTAATCGGCTCAATTAATAATTAACTTGGCTGTCACGATTAAACTACCTACTATTTCGACTCTGAAAAATTAGTTAATATTCTTCAAATATTTTAAAATAAGGATGATCAGCGATTTTCTTTCAATATCACTGTCACTTAGTAAAAAAAAGTCTGAAAGTTTACGCTTCGTAACTTGTCCATTACTTCGAACGCGTCTCGAATCCTTCGCTATCCTCGGCAGCTCGCTCGCACGACCACCTTGCAGTTCACGCGCTCGCCTCTCATTGGTCACTGTTTTTTCGTTAATAACTCGCGTGAACAAAGCCGCGGATTGCATTTTCGCTACGGAAAAGGTTGTTTCAAATGATCTCAGGAATTCCCCATTTTCCGAAAATACGATACTTTTGAGACGCCCTGTATTATCGGCAACGGCTATTTTATACGGCTATATTATCGGCCAACATTTCTTGTACACGAAGTGTCGATAGTAACATATGTCGTGTGTAAACATTTGTCGGTGATTTGTCACATATTGTTACATAAACAATGTCGGTGAAATGCGGTGTCGCCAAAATCATATCGATGAAATAATTGTCGGTGAAATATTTATTGATGATTTCAAGGTAACCCCGTTTAGCTTGTAACTAGAGTTCCTTCTTTTAGTTTACCGATAGTGAGTTTTTGAGTTTGAGTTTGTTCCCAGATATTAATATTACGTATATTATACATACACTACCATTAACGTATAAGTTCAAAACGTCACAGCACTGCAATTATTGAAATAAAAAAAAATACCTGTCAAGTCTATTATTATACGTAACAATATTAATTTAATTAATGTATATAATTTAATTAATGTATAAAAAGTACAGTTAACTGTCAACAAAAACTGTAGAACGAACTATGGTCTGCTCTATGCAGCTTTTTCCTAATAAAAATAAGAATACATCGCTTTCGTGAAAAATGCGATAATATGGTCAAATTATTCACAGCTCTACCCGCAGAATGTCTATCCACTAATATCACACGTCAAAACATGCTGGAAGCATATTATTCAAAGAAATAATTATAATACCGTCCATTTATGTTTATCTCTTCAGTTATCGAGTATACAACGCAGTCAACGATGTGGCAAATTCTGTTTCCTCGAAACAGATAGACATACAACCAGCCATACAAATACATCAGCGAGCCGTTGAGTTAGTATCTCCATTCAGATATTAGTATAACATTGTCGGTGTATGTATTATTACACCTTTATTGTGTTTTGACACTATTTTACGAATGGAGGCTGGCCGCAAACCTCGGGAAATGCATGACGTATTCGTATTTAATGGCAATCGTGGCAGTCGTCCTCTCGTTTGCTGTGAACTTATACCGTGTAAGCATTGCCGGAAGTGAGTAAAAAGGATTCGAAAATCGCTTGAGATTATTCTGAGTTATATCAGCGAAAGGATCGTAACAAAACTGTTTTCACTATGTAACAGCTTCTTCTGGCAGCTAAGAACGCGGACGACGTGGAGAACCTGTTCTTTTCTGCATCCCTCACGCTGTCGCATATTTTAATTATGTTCCTAGATAATCATAGCGGTCAGAAACTGGTGAGCACTAGCGTCGAAGTTTTCCATGAAACGTAAGTTCGTAATTTTTATCTAACCCTCCAGCGTTTCACAGTGCGACAATTCCGTCCATTTCCTGTTACTAAATAATCAAATTATCGTTTCTTTTCGTTTATTTTGCAAAATGGAATTCTTTAAATTATGAAATTCAAAGCGAAGTCCATATTGTTGCTTTGAAATGTTAAACGAAAATGGACGAAGCATTATCCTAGGATAATTTTTGTGCAATCATGTCTGGGACACGTGGGAGGGCTAAATTAAATTCTTTTAACGACGTTGAAGAAAATGAAACCGAGTCGATCCGATAATAGTGGGAGAATTATTCGTGACTTCCAATCGATTGGATAGAATTTACATTAAAAAATTAATCAATAGCTGTAAACAGAGCTGCGAATAATTGAACAACCTCCCACTACCGATAAGAAAGTACACGCATTAAGAAAGTAATTAAACGACGCCGTTCAATGAAACAGATATAACTCGTTATGGTATTGCATACCGCCAAGATCGCAGAAACTGTTGTTATTCCTGCTGATGAGAAGTATGATGGAAGTACAATTTAATTTTGCTGGTTTATATGTTCCGTGTTACGAGGGTTTCTCGATGGTAAATCATCGCATTTCTATCTCGTATGCCGTTAATCCACG